GTTGGTGATGGTGTTAGAGTCTGTCAAAATTGGGGCATCATCACCTGCCTGGATGAGAACATGCTCTAATTCTCTAGATTGCAATGAAATAGGAATCATAAGACCCCTAAAGACTTAATCCTGTTCAATAATTTTGCTCTATTTTTTTTTTTTTCATTATTAATGAATAATGTCAGGTGTTACCCATGTTGCTCCCAGCCCTTTGACTTAGAAGGAGTTTTCAACCATTTAAACAGCTTCAGGGCCTCTGAACTCAACTGTGGGTTAATTGACCTAGACTTACGATCAAGTCTCTAGTAGCAAGACCAATTTTGTGAAGCCCTTTTGTATGTGAAAAACATATGTGTAGATTTAAATTTTGTTTTAAGCGTTCTTCTGGAGTTGGTATTGACGTTTTTCAGATACCCTTACCTGTGATGAGTTAATCCTAAAAATTCTTCTTATAGAACATTTTAGTGTGATTTAAAATGTAAACAGATGGCATTATCCATATTTTACACTTGATATTCATAGACAGAATTGGTTTATAATTTGATTCTTCATCTGATGTTTTCCTTAGTAAATTAATAGTTTTCCATTTAGGTTTAGGTTCTGGCATGTCTTATGTAGAGCCTGGAGATTATTTATTACTTGAAAGTTTGAATAATCCAGAAAGATTCCTGGCTCAAGGGTTTTTGTTATTATTACAAATTTTTAACAACTCATTGTTTAGTAATATGTACTAATACAATCTTGTGGCATGTAATTAATTGGCTGATATTTTCATTCTCAGATGCTTAGTCACAGATGTTCAATGTTACGATTTATAAGGGTACTGATTGTAAAAGACAATGATAATAATAAAAAAAAGAGGTATTCAACTTGCGTTGGAACCAATTGGGATGGAGTTTCCATCATTGGAATAGGACTCCATTGTAAGTAGAGGTCCATCTGTAATTTACACGTAATAAAGTATACAGCTTGCTGAGTTTTACATCCATGCAACCACTACACAGATCAATATATAAAGTATTTATGCTACTCCATAAATTTCACTTGTGTCCTTTCCCAGTCAAAATTCAGCCACCCCTGAAGATAACCAGTATTCTGACTTCTGTAACTCTAGATCAGTCAACTCTTGAACTTTATGTAACTGGAATTATACAACGCAATTTGAGTCTAGATTCTTTCATTCAACATAATGTTTTTAGATTAGTCTATGTTGTTCTGTGGATCATTATATTGAATTATTTTTCATTGTTATTCCACTGTATTCCATTGCATGAATAGACCCTCATTTGTTTATACATTTTCCTGTTGATGGACATTTGGGTTGTTTTCTAGTTTTGTCTATTTTAAAGCTGTTATAAAAAGTCTTGTACAAGACTTTTTGTTAACATTTTTCTTTTGGGTATTACAGAAGTGAAATCTTAAGAGGGCCACAGGGCATTTGAATGTTAAAATTTATTAGAAATTGTCAACAGTTTGGAAACTGTATGAGAATACTAAACTCTACATCCTTGCTAACATTTGATATTGTAAGTCTTTTTCATTTTAGCCATTCAGCTGGGTATGTAGTGCTATCTTATTATTATTTTAATTTGCACTTCCTGATGGGCAATAATGTTGAGCATTTTTTGTACACTTATTGTTGGCACAAGCATTTTTATTGGACACACTTTTTTTATTTTTGAAAATTATTCAGTGGGGACTCTTTCTTCCCCCACACACTCAAACTAAACTCCTTCTTGAAACCTTGTAAGCCAGTCACTTCGTGCCTTTATCGCCCCTCATTTTAGGTAGCCAATGTCTAAGTTACCCGTCCCTATCTACTCTGTGTACAGAGGGGATAGCATTGATACTTGATGTGAAGACTCCTTCCCTCTTTGTTTTTTTTTTTTTAATTTTCAGTTTATTACATTTGTTGGTGTTTTTTCCCTACCTCTTTTTGACTGTTTTAATAGCCTATTTAGATGTTGTCTGAATTCCTAAACCAATTTTCACAGTTTGCATTTACTTAGAAGAATGGCCCAGATTATCAAGTCTGAGAAGTTCTAGAAAAAATTAAAAATCTGTCTTTCTGATTATATCCTTTTTCTTATTCCTAACATGCTAAATTTTATCTTGATCTTTTAAAAAATTGATTTCCCACTTCCTTTTGAAAGAAACAGCTCTTTAATTATTTGATTAGTTTTACTGATTTTGTAGTTTATTAGTATCTTTTTAGCTTCAGCAATCACTTTTTCTTCTTTCTTTGAGTTTTTACCATTCTTTGTCTATATCTTTTCAAATTGATACTATAAACACTTATTTTCATTTTTTTCTAGTTTATTAATGAACGTTGTTGTTGTTAAGTGCCATGGAGTTGGTTCCAACTCACAGCAATCCTGTATAGGGTTTCCAAGGAGTGACTGGTAGTTTTGAACTGCCAACCTTGCAGTTAGTGTTGTTGTTGTGAAGTGATGTCGAGTCAGTTCCGACCCATAGAAACCCTGTATAGGGTTTCCTAGGAGCAGCTGGTGAGCTTGAACTCCCGACCTTGCAGTTCAAACAGCTTTTCAATCTGGCGCATTAACCCACAGCGCCACATCAGGACAGTTAGTTGTTGTTGTTGTTAAGTGCCATTGAGTCGGTTCTGACCCATAGCGACCCTGTACGGACAGTTAGTAGTCCAGTGTTTATTTTATAATGCCACACCAGGATTCCTAATGAACATTAAGCACTTGATTTTATTCTGTGATGACCTTGGAGTCCTGGTGTGGCACTGTAGAATAAACACTGAACTGCTAACCACCAGGTCTGTGGTTCAAACCCACCGTTGCTCCTATACTAGGTTGCTCTGAGTTGGAATCGACTCCATGGCACTTAACAACAACAATGATGATCTTATGTCATATTTTCTTTTTGAATAAAGAATTGTTGGTTTTTAGATTACTTATTTGTTACAAATAAGTAATATAAGAAAGTCTTTCTTAATAGTCAGGTCATGTACATTAACCCTTTTAGTTATTAGTTTTTCATTTTACTGCATTATATTAAGAATGTGGTCTAATTTTGGACAGTAAGTTTTCCTGAAGGAATTTGTTGTACTTTATTGTCTATCATGTGACATGAAGTACAAACAAAGATGATTATGTTGTTTAAAGTAAGACAGATATACAATTTGGCATTGAAGCTCACAATGAACAAGATAGATCTTGTCTTAACCCTCATACAGGATGCTCTCTGGATTATACTAAGCAGCCCCAATGCGATTTGACCTCATGACCCCTAATTTAGAAAGCAGGCTCTGATTGGCTGGCTAGTGGACCACTAAGTGCCAGCCCATTGGCTTAGGATCATTCAGAGAAACAATGGGGAAAGCTCAACATTAGTCATCAACTTTGATTCTTGAGTAAACACACTGGTAATTTATTTATTTTTTCCTCTCTGACAATCAACTATTTCATTAGCATCATCATATCTATTGGCACAGAGTTACATATGGTATTTAATATATACTTTATACTAAGGTTTTGAGTTAAGGCTTACATCCTATCTTGTTTCCCTTCTGGTAGCATTTCTAGGTTCTCTCTGTTCTTGAGATCCACTGACCATTGTCCTATCCTCCCTCTGCCCTTGCTCAAAAGAATCTGATTTTGGTTTCTCAAAAGAAGTTTCCTACCTCCCAATTCTGACTAAGAACTATTTTTATTTCCTTACCAGCAAACTTTGTCTTCACCCCGGGACTCAGGCTTTTGGAAATAAAAGCCAGGACACCTTGTGGTCTCTTTCCGCTTTCCTGCCATGATGCATCTTTTTCTTGAGGAAATGAGCATGAAGCTGAATACCCATCTGAATGAAGGAAAGAGAAACCAAAGACTTCAGAGATAAATGTCTCAACAATTAACCCATCATGTTAGTTTTGAAAGCTATGCACAAAATGAGCGAGTTCAAGGGCCATGGTTAGTTCTCTGTGCCAGGAACTGTTTGCTTTTCATGGTTTCCAATATCTCCAAAACATTCATTTTGTACACCATCACCAAAGGGAGATCTTTTATTTCTGAATAATCCATACTTGACTGTCATCATTGCCATTAAGTGCCGTTGAGTGCATTCTGACCCATAGCAACTCTTTATAGGGTTTCTGAAAGCCGTTGGTGAGCTTGAACTGCCAACCTTGCAGTTCAAACCAGCTTTGCAGTCCTGTGCATTAACCTGCAGCACCACACCAGGTCTCCTTTTAATTGTTAGATGTGTGAATAATAATAATTTAAAAATCCCCAGTGTCTCCTGAGAATGCTTTACTCTGAGAACTTGTTCTGTCTCTGCTCTCATCTATAAATTTTTTTTTTGATAATACATACCAACCTGCAATTTATATCTGTCCTGGAAGCACTCCTGACTAAAGTCAACATCTGAAGTTTGACTAACCGCACTTAAATCCCAGATGAGTTGCTCAAAAGGTGTGGGATCTTGGCTAAGTTAATGAGTGTATGCCTCAATATCTATAAAATGAAGAAAATAGCGCTTACCTTACAGAGTTGCTCCCGAGTAAACGAATTAATGTTTATGAAGCTGTTAAGCACAGAGTAAGCACTGACAAACATTGTCCTGCTCTTATCACTATTATCACCATCACAATCACTGCCTCCTTATTATTCTTCAGGGATAAAAATGGGTACTAATGGTGACTGGATTTCTGGTTGATCTCTTATTTACACCCTTAAACTAGAGGCATCCAGAGGTATTTTCGTAGACATTTCCAATCTAGCTTCAGGCAGTGCTGATCGGATTCTACTCAAGGTGCAGTTATGGAACATTCTTACTGAATTCTGAATTATGGTTAACTCATCACTTCATATGCTGTTGTAATTTTTCTTTATGAAAATACCTATTTGTATAGTAGAAAGGACTTATGACACTAAGGGTATTTAATTTTAAATATCTTTGTGAAAGTTCTGGAATGTGTATATGTGTATAGCATGCTTAGATTTTCACACAAATTATTATTAATTTTTAAAAAGTAAAATAATAGCAACATGGAAAGCAGAAACCAAACTCTCATCTCTGAGTTCCTCCTCTTGGGCCTGCCCATTGAATCAAAGCAGCAAAATCTGTTCTATGTCCTGTTTCTGTTGATGTATCTCACCACCTTCCTGGGGAACCTTGTCATCATCATCCTCATTTTCCTGGACTCCCACCTCCACACACCCATGTATTTGTTTCTCAGCAACTTGTCCTTCTCTGACCTTTGCTTCTCCTCTGTGACCATTCCCAAATTGTTGCAGAATATGCAAAGCCAAGACTCATCAATCCCCTATGCTGGCTGTCTGGCCCAGATGTACTTCTTCCTGCTTTTTGCAGACCTGGAGAGCTTCCTCCTTGTTGCCATGGCCTATGACCGCTATGTGGCCATCTGCTTCCCTCTGCACTACACCACCATCATGAGTCCCCAGCTCTGTCTCTCACTGGTAGCCCTGTCCTGGGGACTGACTATGTTCATTTCTTTGCTTCACACCCTGCTTATGGCTCGACTGTCTTTCTGCATGGGCAATGTGATCCCCCACTTTTTCTGTGACATGTCAGCTCTGCTGAGATTGGCTTGCTCTGACATTCAGATAAATGAAATGGTGATATTTATCTTGGGAGGGCTTGTCATCATTGTTCCATTTCTATTGATCTTCACATCTTATGTACGAATCGTGTCCTCCATTCTCAAGGTCCCTTCTGCCAGGGGTATCCGCAAGGCTTTCTCCACCTGTGGTTCTCACCTCTCTGTGGTGTCACTGTTCTATGGAACGATCATTGGTCTCTACTTATGCCCATCCGCTGATAATTCTACTGTTAAGGAGATTGTCATGGCTGTAATGTACACCATGGTGACCCCTATGCTGAACCCCTTCATCTATAGCCTGAGGAACAGAGACATGAAGGGAGCCTTGGGGAGAGTCTTTTCAAAGAGGATAATTCACTTTGCTTTGGGCCAGTAACGCTAATAATTAAAGTATGTTTTCAAAGAGTTTGTGTTAATATTGAAAATGAGCAGCATTCTTAATTGTTTAGTTTCACCTAAGTTTAGGACTTCTGATGCAGCATCCATACCACCTCAAGAGGGAATTTTCCAATATTTCACTAGGAGATGGTCCATTATGTTTCTTTGATTTATCGCCTTATCCCAAATGTGATAAAATAGAAGGTCTGACCCAGAGTGGCCATTAATAAATGATATTCAGTTTGAAGAAATAACACTCTACCTTCGGAGTTTATTGTACTCAAAGGATATACCCTCACTACCCACTCACTGCCATTGAGTCCATTCCAACTAATAGTGACCCTGGACAGTGTCTGTGAACCTGTACACCTTTACAGGAGCAGACAGCTTCATCATTCTCTCTCAGAGAAGCTGGTGGGTTTGAACTGCAAGGTCAGTGGTTGAAGCTCACCAGCCACTCCTTGATTACCCAATTCAGGAGAGCTCTGAGTCGGAACCAACTCGACATCACTTAACAACAGCATATATTAGATGGAGTCCTGGTATGATCGTGTAGGATAAACACTCGACCATAAAGTCAGTTTGAACTTCAAGGTTGGAGGTTCACATGAACCAGTCACTCCTCAGAAACCCTATACAGGGTCGCTATGAGTTGGAACCAACCTGATGGCACTTAATAACAACAACAACATATATTAGATGAAAATCCATCTTTTGAATTAAAATTGCATAATATAGAATGGTGTATAGAGTTCTGTTGTAAATTGTTAAATGTATAGACAGCAAAATAGTGGCCTAGAGGATAGCCTAATATAACACAGATGATGAATGTATTTTTCTTTCTGGAACATTGTGTTGAAATTATTTAATACTTTATTTATTTATTACAAAGTATATAATCAGTATTTTGAATACAGGTGTTTTTCAGTCTCTCTATATAATGCCTAGTTCAGTGTCTTACATTTGTTAAATACAGAATATTTGTTTTTTTGATATGAGTATATTTTCATTAATCATATTAAATGAATTTATGCCTCAAAAATTCCACTTTTTAAAAATAGTTTTTATTGTGAATTGGGTGAAGGCTTATAGAACAGACAGAACAGTTTTTCATTCAACAACTGTTTCATCTCATTGATTGCAATCCCCACACTGTAACTAACATCGGCTTACCCCACTTCCTCCAGGTGTTTTCTGTTTCCATTCCTCCTTTCCTAACACTTCTGGACTCTGTCCTTGGGCAAATGCTGCCCTTTTGATCTCAAACAGTTTCTTATTCTTAAGTCCGTACACCTCATTAATGTTATTGTTTGGCTAAAAATTTAGCCTTGGGTGTGACTTTATTTCCAGACCTGAAGTATGATTAAGGGCCTGAAGCACAGGGGTCCCATGAATCTCTATCCAACCAGTAAGCCTGGCCTTTTAATGGAAATTACTCAACCAATAAATAAATGAATAAAGTAGAATGTGAAGGCCCCCATGGGTCCCCATAGGTCCCCAACGACAGCAGTTAGAAATTGGGAAAAATTATCCCAGATGTTTTCTATGCACAGATTAGCATTATATATAATAAGCAAATAGAACTACATTGTACATGTTATTTTTCTCATTATTTTCACTTACAATCATAATGTGAACATCATTCCATATAAGGACATACGACTCTTCCTTATTTTTTTTAGGAACTACACAGTGTTCTGTTGACTGGATATATTTACCATAATTTATTTAAAGAATTCGCTTTTTATGTAGATTTGGGTTGTTTTTATGTTTTTTATCATTTTGAAAATAGCTTCAATTTTACAACCTGGCCCAAATATGCTTTTGTCAATTTGTCCTATATTTCTATGGGATTTCTTAGAACTGGATATCCTAGATCAAAGGATATGAACACTTTATAATTGGATAAAAATTGTCAAATTACCTCTAAGAAGGTATCTTGTTTTTGTATTTAGTACAAAATAAGGCATTTAGTACAAAATAGCTTCGTAATAACATGTTAAAATATTTTGTGTGAATTGCTAGCTGTCTGCCGTGAGTTGGTTCCGACTCATAGCGACCCTGTACAGGATTTCCGAGGCTGTAAATCTTAATGGGAGCAGAATACCTCATCTTTCTCCTGCGGAACAGCTGGTAGTTTCGAACTTGACCCTTGCGGTTTGCAGCCCGATTTATAACCACTACGCTACCAGAGCTCCTATTTACCCATAGACCATCATTATTGCAGAATTGTGTATATAGCACTATTTACTTCTGTTGCCTTTAACTCTTACACTCCTTCCTGTCTTCCCATGCCTCCAGCATTCTTTTGCCAACCTCCTTCCTACTTTAACTAAGTTTACATGTGTCTGCTCTCTAGTCAGTGAATTATTCTCCATTCTCTCCCACCCTGATAATCGTCAAATAATGCTTCTTTTAAGTGTGAAGACCTGTTCTTGACTTTTCACAATAGTGGTCTCATACAATATTTGTCTTTTTGTGATTGACTAATTTTGCTATTTTCAATAGCTTCATATGCATGTGAAAGTTGGACAATGAATAAGGAAGATCATAAAAAAACTGATGCATTTGAGTCATGGTATTGGAGAAGACTATGGTGTTGGAGAAGAATTTACCATGGACTGCTAGAAGACAAATAAATCGGTGATGGAAGAAGTACAGCAAGAATGCTCCTTGGAAGCCAGGAGAGTGAGACTTTCTCTCTCATATTTCAGACATATGATGAAGAGGGGTCAGTCCCTGGAGAAGGACATCGTGCTAGGTAAAGTCAGTGAAAAGAAGAAGTCCCCAACAAGATGGATTGACACAGTGGCAGCAGCAATGGACTCAAGCTTAACAACGATTGTGAGGATGGCGCAGGACTCGACGGCACTTAACAACACCAATAGCTAATGACCACTAACGTTTCTTCGTGTATTTTTCAGTTACCCGAATGTCTTCTTAAGTTAAGTGTCTGTTGATACCCTTTACCCATTTTTAAGTTTGTTTGTTTGACTTTTTGTTATTGAAGTGTTGAAGTTTTCTACAAATGTTAGATATTAGTCCCTTGTCAGATATGCCATTGCCAAAAAAGCTTCCCAGCTAAAAAAAAATTCTTGGTCTATAAGTTCTTCTTTTTTTTTTCTTTTGGTGAAGTCTTTTGATGAACATAAGTGTTTAACTCTTAGGAAGTCCCATTTGTCTAGTTCATCTTCCGTTGTTCGTGTGCATTTTTAGCTATGCTTATTACTGAATTCATACCATATATTAAGGGTTTCAAGGAGCTCTGGTAGTGTAGTGGTTACAAGTCGAGTTGCCAGCTGCAAGGTCAACAGTTCGAAACTAACAGCAGTTCCATGGGAGAAAGATGAGGTGTTCTGCTCCCATAAAAGTGTACAGCCTTGGAAACTCTGTACAGGACTCCACAGGACTTAACAACAACAACATTAGGGCTTTCGATTGTGTGCATCATGACAAGCTATGGACAACCTTGCGAAGTAGGAGTATTCCGGAACACTTAATTGTGTTCATGAGGAATCTGTACATGGACCAAGAGGCAGTTGTTAGAACAGAACATGGGATCACTGAATAGTTTAAAATTAAAAAAGGGGTGCTACAGGGTTGTATTCTTTCACCATAGTTAGTTAACCTGTATGCTGAGCAAATAATCAAGAAGCTGGGTAATATGAAGAAAAACGTGGCATCAGAATTTGAGGAAGACTCACTAACAACGTGCGATATGCAGATGATACAACCTTGCTTGCTGAAAGTGAAGAGGACTTAAAGTATTTAATGATGAAGATCAAAGACCACAGCGTTTGGTATGGATTACATCTCAATGTAAAGATACAAAAAGTCCTCACCACTGGACCAATAAACAACATTCTTATCAATGGAGAAAGGATTGAAGTTGTCAAGGACTTCATTCTTCTTGGATCAACTATCAACACTCACGGAAGCAGTAGTCAAGAAATCAGACAACGTACTGTATTAGGCAAATCTGCTGCACAAGACCTTTTTAAAGTGTTGAAGAGCAAAGATGTCAGCTTGAGGACTAA